CTTCTAAACCTGTAGAAGTGAAACTAAAGTATGTAATTCCCCATACAAGATAACTTGGTATCTCAAATCTAAGAACTAGCTACACGACTATCACATGAAAATATATTTTATAGAAACTTAAGTGAAATATTAAATCGAGTTCTCATAGTAGGTCATATTCAGTGAACTTGTTCTTTAATAAACACCCATATACCATCCTCAAGTATCCCATATATTCCAATTTATAAGATTGATTGCTTACTTTCCAAGTAAAGAGGCTTAACATGAACTAGTCTTTGAGCATTGTCAATGTCCTGTATTAATAATACAATGACCAGGAACTATTTTAGAAATATGGCTTTAATGCACAGAGATCTCATAGTTGTAACAACTTTATAATTCTTTTGTAAGGCCTTTATATTCCATGGGTTTCACTCAATTAGTACTTAATAACTATTTATTATTGTACTAACATGAAAGAAAACATCTATCATATATAGTTATGTGATTAAGTATGCATTAGATGACAATATATATTCCTTGATCAATCTAATTGACTCTAGGGTATATACCAATAATGAAGAGTAACTGAAAAGTGATATTTATATTTAAGTTAATTAACTTCTTAAATTACAAATAAGGCCTCAATAATATAATCCTTTATAATATTGGCTCAATAGTTAATTAAACCTTTTTAATTAAGTCATTGTAAATCAAAATTGAATTAAATTTACTTTATTTCTTTGCAATTAAGGCTTTAATGTTATAACTAATTATAATATTGGTCGTATACTTAATTAAACTATTTTAATTACATCTTGAAAAGTTAAAAGCCTAGTGTAGGATTTAAGTTTAACTTAAATCATCACTCTCCCAATTTAATTCATACTACAACTTATTTGTGTATGACCTATTAGATTCCTAACTTATGGGTAATGGAATTGAGTTATAATTTTTACTAAATTAATTAATTTAATTCTATAGATCAAGATTGGCACCTAGCAATAAATCATGGCAACCTTTTAAAGTGTACAGTCTATTAGTGTAATTCATTCTCTCATCATATATCTTGAAAATGATAAGAGTGTAGTACAGTGTTTTTTCTAACAACATTTCAAAGTGTACAATCTATCAGTGTAATTCATTACCTCATCATTTATCCTAGAAATGATAAAAGTATAATACAGTGCTTACTCTTATTAATCTCTATATTCATTCTTGAAGTTAGATTATTAGCTTTATAGAGACTTATGAAACTTTTTTTTTATAATCTCCGAGTCGCCTTAGCCAATGACTTCAACAAGCTAATATCAACCAAGAACTACTAAATCACTTGGGGTGATGGTTCATTTCTTGGCCACTTATTTGCCTTTACATGTTTCATGTTACAACCAATCATATCTTGTTTAGGCATCCTTGGTAAAACCTGTAAGGATATGATCAAATATATAGCACTCCACATATAAGACAACCTAGTGTCTCAAGGCTAAGGAGTATTCACATGACTGACACATGAAAATATTTACATAGACACTAAAGTGAGATACCAAATGCATTTCTCATATTGGGTCATGTTCAGTGAACTTGTTCATGGAATAAGCACATACATTTTAGTTCAAAGTATCTTTATACTTTAATCTATGAGATCAGTTACTTACTTCCCAAGTAAGGAATATAGAATGCACTAATCTCTAAAGCATCATTGATGTCCAGTCTCAATGATTCATCAATCAGGAACATTTGCTTTGATGCATAGAGATCTCATAATTGCAACCCATTACAATTCCCTTGCAAAGCATATTTATCTCATAGACTTCATCAATAGACTTATAACTTTTATAAATAATATCTTATTGATAAATGAAAAACCTCTAATCATCAATATAAATGATATGATTGCATGTTTGGAACTAAGTCTTAACTAATCTCAATTGGCTGTAGGGCTCATTCCAACATAATTAACTTAAATAAAATAAATAATTAAAAATAACTAATATTTAAACTAACTCTTAAGAACTTAAACAAAATACATCCAACATTGTGACCGAATAATTCTATAAAATAGAGTTATCATCTCTCTTTTTTACTCTTCTCTTTTGGACAAATTTCTTAAGTATTCACACACAGAAAACAAGCTAAAAATTCTAAGAAAAGAAAGAAAAGAATTGCTACCATCTTGTAATTTGCATTCCACACCTTATTCACTTAAGGTTCTTGTTGAAAATATTTTTGAAGAATAAGTGGTAAATCGATTTGGTGAAGAAATTGAGTCCTTGGTGTGGATAGTGAATTTATTACAATTCACTAGAGTTAAGAATTAACAACCTTATAAGAGAAGGTATGATTACCAATCTTTTAAGATTATTGATTTAGTGATGTGATTATACGATTTGTGATATGCATGATGTGTTAATTTCTATGTATATGTATGGTTTGCTTCAAGAAAAAAAAAACTGAAATTCATGATCTACACAATCACATCTATGCACAAAGATCTACATCACATCACAAGAAACCAAGCCAAACAAATCGTAAACACTAGAGGCAAGAAGCAAAGTAAACCATAGTTGCCAATACAAATAAGAAGACACATGAATAGATGAAAACATAAGGAAGTAAGCAAGCTAAATTTGTTGGGATTCGACTTCATTCTCAAACATGAAAAATAATAAAAATAAAAATATAATGCAGTAGAAAAATAAAAATAATATTTAATCAGAAAAACAGTCGAATCCTACAAGATCAACGTTTGTGTTTTTCATGTAACTTTCAAATAAATTATAAACACTCAGAGGTTTAAGAGTTACATACCCTGCTCTAGATATCGTAATCAAGAGTCAATTAAATCAAAAAATCTTTACTTCTTCACCTTTAGGATTTGTCAAATCTTCAGCCACCCAAGTGTTTGGCCTCTAACAGTAATCCACACAGTGACTGAATAAGACCTTCTTTAAGGTAGGATTTTACTTATACTAGCAAGTTTTGTGTCTAAAACAAAAAGACAAAAATTCTTGTCAAATCTAATTTTGTCAGACAAAGAAAATTATTTTTCTTTTCTTATTTTATGAAACAGTTGAAAAGTGGTTGGAGGCTTCATTCTATTAGTTTGCTAATATAACATATTTATATAGCCAAACTAATTTGTAACCCTAAATCCAAAAGTTGTATTTTTAATTTAATTAAGTCTATGAGAACTTAATTAATTTCTCACTTTATTTTGGTCTCTTTCAATTAAGTCCAACTTAATTAATTATCCTTATTTAATTTCAATCATGTCACTTAATGTGTGTGACCCATTAGGCTTCTAACATGTTGGCAATAAATATAAATCATAATCAAATATCAATTTGATAATTAATTTATATTTATAGATTATGAGCGACATCTAGCAATATATCATGACCACCCAAATGTTGAAAAGTCAATTAAAGAATTTGACAAAACCCTTTAGTAATAAGCCTTTTAATGCAATATGGTCCTTTCATCAAATATCCCGGATATGTCATTAAGCATGGTTCGGTGTCTACTTATGACATTCCATATTAGTTCTCATAATTCATGACTAACCTTATGAATTTAGAAAATTAATTTTCCTTAAATTCATCATGCTTTGGCCAAAGACTTTATACAAATTAATTAAGAATTAAGAACAAGTGAGATACATCCCCTCATATCACTTGGGGTAATGAATCCTTTTTTAACCACTCATTCACCTTCGCATATTTCATGGTATACCCAAAAACACCATATTTAGGCATTTGGTTGCTTCCAAACCTGTAGGGATGAAATCAAAGTATGTCATTCCCCATATAAGATGACTTGGTGCCTCAAGTCTAAGGACTAGTTGCACAACTATCACATGAGAACATATTCCATAGACACTTGAGTGAAATACCAAATGGAGTTCTCATAGTGGGTCATGTTCAGTGAACCTGTTCTTTAACAAGCATTTAGATGTTATCCTCAAGTATCCCATATACTTCAATCTATGAGATCGATTGCTTACTTACCAAGTAAGGAGGCTTAACATGTACCAGTCTTTGAGTATTGTCAATACCCTGTCTTGGTAATACAATGACTAAGAACAATTTTAGGAACATGGCTTTGATGCATAGTGATCTCATAATTATAACAATTTTATAATTCTCTTGTCAGGCCTTTATGTTCCATGAGTTTCATCCAATTAGTACTTAATAACTCCTTATTATTGCAATAACATGAAAGAAAAACCTCTATCACATAAAATTATGGGATTAAATATGTATTAAATGATAATATATGTTCCTTGATTAATCTAATTGGCTCAAGGGCATATATCAACAAAATCTGATTAAAAATTACCCTTAAATCACCAAAAAGAAGAACGAAAATCAAATAAATTACAAGCATTAAAATGGAGAAACCATGAGAACCCCTCGATAGCTAAAGGAAGAAGAGTGAGACCAAAAGAAGATGAAGTGAAAGCATTGATAGAGCAAAAAAGAGTGTAAAGCCCAAGAATCCCTAGCCTTTGTGAGGTGAAACTCAAAAAAGCTCTTTTTTTCAAAGATGAAAAATGACGAACACTCCCAACTTGAACAAAATTTTTAAAATGGCAACAACAGAAACCCTAAAAACACCCTGTATTAATCTTGAATAATTGAAAAAACCTTTAAAATATGCTAAAGACAGCAACAGTCGTAATATCGAAAATACCTTTCGCAATTCATGAGAGGATAAAAACACGTGTCACATTTTGAGAAAAATTTGTAGGTTAGAATCATTATAGTGAAACTTGAAAAAATCCCTTTTTTAAAGATGAAAAATCGAGAACACCCTCGACTTGGACCAAGGTTTCAAAATGTATTTAACTTGAAAAGTCTAAAAAGCCTCCAAAACATGTCAAAATTACCGGCATATAGACAACCACAGCCGTAATACTGAAAATACCTTCCATAATTCGTAAAAAGACAAAAACACGCTGTAGGTTAAAATTATTACAGTTAAGGTTAACATGAAGATTATTCCATTTGGGCCAGAACAGATGTGAATATCTGATAGTGGGTTTGGGGGGCGGTGGTGTGCCAGTGGTTTGAAGCTCAGGCGTTCGACTCCTCTCAAAGAGTTGAGAGCATCGTTGACACGCGTCAAACAAGAATGTAAAGAAATAATGAAGACAGCTCACGTTCAAGTGACCTGGAACTTACCCATTGACGGACACTTTTTAAGGAAGCTTTAGACAGCTCCTCATGGGCACGGCGGTGCTTGCTGCGTGCTGCGTGCTGCGTGCTGCGTGCTGCGAGCTCCAATCAATCAGCGAGCTGAAGCTTTAAATAGGGAACCTCATAATATTTATTTAATTCAATATTTAACAAAATCCTCTCTGTTAAATTCCTTAATTTATTTAAGCTGATTCTTAGTACTAATAAGTCAGAAAAGTAAAAAAGAAAGAAAGAAAGAAAGAAAGAAAGAGAAATCTCTGTTTTTGGTAAATTGAAGCTTTGCGTCGTCTTTCAGTCTCTGTATCCAAACTCAAATGTGGAAGCCTTTTAGGGTTCGTCACTCGTTTCTCAGCTCCCTCTACCTCGTCTCCGTCTTCGTCTCTGTCTTTACAGGTACGTCGTCGTTTGGGTTCCTGAGATGAGATCTCTGTTTTGCTTTTTGGAATTTATTGTTTTTGTAGTTAGTTATACTTGCTTGGAAAGATAAGATGGAAAGTAATTGAGATCTGAAGCTGATTGTAAGCTTTATGTTGCTTGGTTTCCTGTCCCTGTGTGTGCGATCATTTTATCCAAATGACTCGACTCAACTCAACTCAACTCAACTCAAGTGGTCAGGAGTAACACAAGACTAAGATCCAAAGTTTTTCCTTTTAGTATTCTCACCCAGATAGTCAAGCAAATGCTTATGCTTTCTCTTAACTTATCACCTTTCTGTATGTGAAGAAGCATAGTTTTCTTTTGTTCCCAACCAAACTGACTTAATCACCGCACATCTTGGAAAACCCAAACTTGTCTTGCAAACCTTCTTGGTATACTTGCCTCCCTGCCCTGCATGCTCTCATTTTTGTTTGGATAATTTTGAGAGTACGAGGACAAACTATACTTTAGAACTGAGCTGGTTTTCTCAATTAACCCCTCTTTTCCCAGGTAATGTATTATTTCCCTTTCAAATAGTGCTTTCCATGGGCTTATATGGTCTCTATTCTTTTGCTCTTTTTTTTTATTGGCATCTCCTCCTGTTCCTCTTGGTATTCATGTCATCTGTTCTCCACTTTTGTTAACTGTGAGATTTTGTTGTTTGCAGAGTAACAAATGAAGCTGTATGTAATTTAAAGTTGCTGCTAATAAGAAAAAGCACTGCTCAATCTAGTTTCGCTCTTCTTCTATCAAATGTATGTCTGGTTTCTCCAAGGAGTGGAAGAGCTGATTTACTGATTAAATGACCCTCTATTGTTGCTTTACTTATTCCAAGGACCTTTTTATTGCAATGGTGCTTGTATCATGTAATTAATTAACTGATTTACTTATTCTAATGTCTTTCTTTGATTTTTATCTTTGTGCTTGAACTTTCTACAAGTGTTGTGTTCTGTTACAGTATGAGCTGGGTTGTCAATTTGCTTAAGAAAAAAAATTGTACTCACTGTACATATACTTGTATCATGTATGGTTCTAAATGTGTAGGGAATGGTTGTGGATTATTCTAAGTACCATATCTCATCTCACTGGTAACACCTTGGACTTATGAATCTCACCTGTGCTGTCTGTGTGTGTGTGTTTGAGTGTTTGATTATTCTTTCTTCTTGGACATGTAGGGAAATTAAGAGTGAGGGTTCACTCCCTGCGTAGTTAACACATTGGTCACGCAGTTTGGTTATGATTGAAGTGATGTAAATTGAAATACTATAAAATCTGATATGTGTATGCATAACATGGTGAGCACTGGTTGCATGGGTGTTACTTGGTACTCTCTGAGTTAGTTCAAATAGGTTTACAAACTATGGGAATGCTGATGTAATTGCCAAATGAAATAACAAAGATACAAACAAATAAATATGTTGTTATTTCTGTTTAATGTTGGTTCTAACATGCTACGCAGCATTACTTAATTTCTTGCCACTTGGAAATTTTTCTTTCGTTTCTATATATTGTTTTTTTTTTAGGGGGGGGGAGGGTGGTGGCGCTTGTGGGTTGATAGGAGGTGGGCATTTATATTGTCACTGTGAAATGCTACTGAAAAATGATCGCAACAGTTTTCAACCAACCAGCTAGAGTAAGGAAAAGGTAAAAGGAAAGCGAAAGAATACAGAACTAATGAGATGACTTAATGTTGGAGTCTGTGCTAGTGTGCTTTGCTGAGGCACTGCATGCTAATCATATTTTATATATACACACACACACACGAGCAAACCTTCGCTATTTGCATCACCTCACAACAATGGATACTACTTTATGTCTACTACTAAAATTGATAGTAATAGAGGAACATATTTCATAGTTATAAATGTTAACTTTTTGTTTTACCTTCATGATTTGAGGGTTTTGTTACTAATTTGAGCTTATAGGCCCCAGAGACTGGTCTTTTGTATTTCCCAACAAGAAAATTGTACATGCCAACCTAATTGCAAAAAGTATCCTGTAGATGTGAAATGCTGAAAGCCCAAAAGTGTGAATTATATGTTATAGGTTGAATCTCTTGCATGCTGAATGCATGAATGGTGGGTTCGCATTTTGAAGTGGTTATTCTCATCTAAGTTTCAATTTACATGACCATAAATGTTTAGTTTGAAAGTTTATTAGTCTTCTTAATTTTTGAACTTAAACGTGTAGTGATCTGCTTACGCGTTTTTTTCTATCTGACCTATTCATGTTGTATTATGAGTTGTTTTCCGTGTTCTGAATTTCTATTTATTCTACTACATTCAGAGGTAAGCAGAAAACTATGGCAGCTGAGCTTGTCAATTCTGCTACAAGTGAGAAACTCACTGAGATGGACTGGACAAAGAACATCGAAATTTGTGAGTTAGTTGCTCGAGATCAAAGGTGTAGTTTTTTCTTTTATTTCTTAGTTTCTATTTTCAAATGAAATGAACTTTAAGAGTTCTGTTAAAATTGGAGCTTCAATTCATTGTTCTGGGTTGCCAATATTCCATAACCATCTTTATTTTCCTTGGCATTTATTTATGCTTTCTTTATACAGGCAAGCTAAAGATGTTGTTAAAGCAATTAAGAAACGATTGGGAAGCAAGAACCCATATACTCAATTATATGCTGTATTGGTGAGTACAGGCTATTTTTGTTTAATAACAATCTGGCTTATGTTGTTTTATAGATTGTAAACTCATTCTTTAATGGCTAATTTTGCAGTTATTGGAGATGTTGATGAACAATATTGGTGAAAATGTTCATAAACAAGTGATTGATACAGGCATTCTCCCTATTCTTGTGAAGATAGTGAAGAAAAAGGTGTAGACTTGTTTCCTATTCTACAATTGTTGGCCTTTCACTGATTTTATACAACTCTTGTGGTTTTCTTATTATTCTTTTCTTTGTTGCAGTCGGACTTGCCAGTACGAGAGAGAATATTTCTGCTTTTAGATGCTACACAGACATCCCTTGGTGGTGCTTCAGGAAAGTTTCCTCAATACTATTCAGCATACTATGATTTGGTGGTAGGTACAGACATGAAACATGTGTGACCCCATTACATTGTACATTTATTGATGGGTTAGACAGAAAGTATCCTCTCTGGGAACAAGGTTATGAGTTGCACAGAATTTAAAAGCCGGTTTTTTTTTTCATTAAGCATAATAATGATGTTAGTCAAAGCTATCAGTATATTCAGTGTGAATTATATGATTGCTACATTTAATACGTTTATTTTTTACAGTTATTGAACAAAAAGTCTGTAGCTTAAGTGCACACTCTTCATGCGACTGTAGCAGTTTAGTAGTTGGGTCTGTTGTTAGGATTGTTGTTATTGTGATTTTTGTAATTTCTTCTGGATGGTGATGGAATGGTGAGGCAGATGGCCTTTATTATACTTAGTCTGTAAAGTCCTTTTGGCCAAGTTTTGCTTATTTTTTCCTCAGCATTCTAGTTTTGCTTCTTTTGCCTCGTTTTGTTCCGGTTCTTTTTTGTATATCTGGATTCCACTCCTAAGCCACTTCCTCAATGTACACCATAAACAAACCAGATCGTTCCTTCAAACCTCTATATGTATGTCTGTTCCTATATGCTTTCAAAAATGTCTACAGCTGATTCAATATTTTTTACCGTCTTTGTTTCTCTCCTAGCAAGTTCTAAATTGTGTTATTTACTTGCTTCCTTGAACTTTTAGCAACCCTTTAGTCATAAAAATTTTAACAAATTGAGTCACAAAGTTCTGCAAAAATACAACGCCTTCAACTGCACATCTATCTCTTTAAATCTAAATCTGTTCTTTCTTAATTGACATGAAAACCTTTTCTATAAATTTTGTGGAATCCATCTTATGTCACTGATTTTTGTGAGATATCTAGAAGAGTCCTTTTTTCTTAGCATATTGTGGTTGGGTTGACTGGTTCTACAACTGTTAAATCTTGATGCCTAGGAGTTATTAAAGATAATGAAAATAAGAAGAGCGGACACAGGTATAGAGTTGAAAAGAAGTATGCAAGTTATCTTTTAGGAATTGTCATTACTTTATGTCTATTATCAGAAGACATTCATTATTTGTTCTTGGCATTTGAATGTATTTAAGCAGAGTGAGTTTGTAGAATCAAGTATGTGATTGTAAGGGATATACTTGATGCACAGTCATTTAGAGCACATTCATACCTTGCTGAGATGCTTCTTGTGAAATGTGGCTTGAGTCAAAAGAGATATAGAAGTGTATGTCTCCTGTCCATTCAATTTTATCTAGGCATCGGTGTGATTCATGAGCTTTTACATTGTCCAAAGACATATAGAAGTTCCAAGTTTTTTTATTGTAGCAACGTAGATGATAATTTAGGACATGAGTTGGTATGATACTTTTTTCTACTTTGCTTCATCAAAGCACGGTTTGAAAAAGATGAACAGCTTGGTATCTAAAAACAGTCCCCTGGTTTTCAGTCAGCTTTCAGTAGTTTTGTTTTCACGACTTCCCATTATTGAAAAGTGCGCCTCCTGTGAATATATGGTTGATAAAGTTAAGTGTTTCATTAAATAGCAAATATATGGTTCATAAAGTTAGGTGTTTCATCGGATAGCAGTTATATGGTTCATAAAGTTAGGTGTTTCATCACATAGCAATAATCCAAACGCCATATTTTGATATGTTTTCCTGGCTATAAGATAATCTCATGCATAAGTAATTTTCTGTTGTTTCATTCTGGATAACATGTGTAATTAGCAGATACAGTTATGGTGAATCTGAGGGTAACTGCATATTTCTGTTTTCATTTTAATCCTGTCAGAGTGCTGGAGTACAATTTCCTCAAAGGCCTCATGCTACACCCTCAAATCCACATACTTCACTACCAAATAAGAATAATACACTTAATGGGGAACTTGCCTCTGCTAGACATGAGGCAATTGCACAGCAAGCAGAGCCTCAGATTGTTCCTGAGTCCAGGTAACTTTTTCTTTCCTTATTTTGTGTGTGTCATTTGGCCTATCTTAGACTAGTTATTCCATTTTGTAAAAGGGTTTTTCCTTTTCCTTTTCCTTTTCGTAACTATACATTGAGACGAGTTATTCCATTGCTTAAAAGGGTTTTACTTTCTCCCTTTTTTAACTATATATTGTACAGATGGTTAAAACATGGACTTCCATCAAGCTTATCTAAATGCACATAGCTCCTCTATAGGTAGCACAGAAATGCATTTTGAGCTTCTTTCTTTATTGTAAAAATGCTTTATTCATTTTGGGGCAGTGGGATTTGTTAGTTTTTTCTTGCTATATCTATTTTAGGTTTCTGTCAGAATTTTATTTTTATGCTGACTAATGTCTAAGTACATTGCTAAATATAGATATGTGAGATATTTGATTATATTGTAACTATCATCTCCTCTGGAACAAAATTCCTTGGTCTTTTTCATTTTTGACAGCATTATTCAGAAGGCTAGCAATGCATTAGAGGTTTTAAAAGAAGTCCTTGATGCAGTTGACCCTCAAAATCCTCTGGTATGGGTGACATTTCCATGCTTACATGCCTCATGATTGATAAAATGAGTTATCCTCATATATATATATATATATATATATATATGAAATTTTGACCTGAGATCCTTCAGTTTGACTGCTATTTTATGCCTTTTTTTAGGGTGCGAAGGATGAGTTTACACTTGACCTTGTGGAACAATGTTCGTTCCAGAAGCAACGAGTGATGCATCTTGTGATGAGTTCTCAGTAAGGCTGCTTTGCAATTGGAGCACAGTATATTTTGAATTTTAAGAAACCACTTACTTTTGTTTTTGTATGTGTGCTTCCTGAGTACAAGACATGCTGGGGATGAGAGAGAGAGAGAGAGAGAGAGACTTTTCTTTCACTCCTGTTACCCTATTTGAATGGGAAGGGAACCAAGTGGTGCATGTGCTGGCAATTTATATAATGCTAATATTTACTTGCAAGTGCCAGGGTAGAATAGGTGGCATGCAATACCAGGGCAAATGGAATAATGGTTATTTGATTGAATGGAGCGGGAGAGCCAGGGTATATACTAGGTGGCATGCAGTTCATGGCAAACAAAATATCAAGGATGATTTGCTGTTCATTGTGATGAAAGGATATACAATCATGTGCTAGTACCCACGCCTTTGGGAAAAATATCTTTTGCGAAAGTAAAAATTATATGATTACATGCTAGTTGTCCTTAATACATCTTTTCCCAAAAGTTAGGACAACAAGCATAAAGTGAAACTGTTTCCTATACTCAAAAGAAACAATCTATGATTGTATGCTAGTTGTCTTTGTTTTAGGAAAAGATATCTTCGAATCTGGTTTCCAAGTTATGCCTGTGAACCGTCTGAACTGAGTTATTAAACCCCAATTTGGAGATCGTTTGTTTCTCATCTTCAAAATATTAGGATGCATATGGCCAATCCTTTACATTTTTCAGTGCAGAATGCATATAGAAGTCCAGTATTTTGGTATTGCAACTTAGTTGGATGCTGTCTTTTATTTATTCAGGGATGAGAAGGTGGTTTCCCGAGCAATTGAGTTGAATGAGCAACTCCAGAAAGTTCTTGTCAGACATGATGCTCTTCTCTCAGGCAGGACTGCCGTTTCAAGTAGGCCTACAGCAACTGTAAATCATTGTGACCCTGAAGAAGAGGAGGAAGAAGAGCCAGAACAACTTTTTAGAAGGTTTGTGTATATCTTAAATATTCCAACATTTCTAGAAAATAAATCTTTCTGTCAGATTTCTTGAGATGATGGTGTTAGGTTAGGTAACCGATTCTCCCGAAGCTTAAGCTAATAGGAAAGGATTGAACTGTTATATATAAGCCACTTTGCTCAGACTTGAGGATGGGTATGTGTCAAATCGTATGACTCATCAATGAGCTTAAATCTAGGACTTAGTGATTCTGGTAGATCCAAAAGGAGGATATGAGTGCGGGGACTTGTTATGAACCTAATAGAATTGGATTTATTTATTCAGTTATATATATGTATATAATTTGCTTGATTCTAAGTGATTAATGGTCATTTTAATTTAATGAAGATTTTAAGAGGATAGAAATGGTTTTTCCTCTTATTTTATCTTAAAAAAAGAAAGAAAATTGTAGTGAGCCCATTTTTTTTTGACAAGTATTCATATGTAGATGGGTTTCTCCCATGTTTTTAAAATAGATATTTGAGTTTGAGTTTAAAAGCCTGAACAACCCCTAAAACCCTATTAGGACCCTGGTGTCCAAAAGCTCCAAACCGTCATTCTACTTTAAAAACCCTAATCAAAATTTTCCTTATTACTCTGGTTGTGTAGCGCCGCTCCCTCTTTCTCTCACCTTTCCACTCCTCTGCAAATGCATTTTTCAAGTGCTGCTCCTTTCTCCTATTCTTTCCAGCAACCATTACCTAAAGTCACTCATCCATCCTCCTTATCTGCTACTCTCTCTCTCTCTTCCTTTCCGGATTACACTCTTCTCTTCCTTTTGGATTTTCAGCTTCTGAGCACTCCAGTGAAAGCAAGATTTGACAAAACAAAGTACTAATTGAAATCAACATTGAGCTACCCTCTGCTGCCATTGTTTCCAATAATTTTTTGCCATGTAAGACATATCCTGTGTCATGTCTAGGGACATGTGTCAATACGGGTGCACCTCCATCATTTATGAGTCCAAGCAATACAATATCTAAGTTCTAACATGTCTGCTGTTGTGCAATCGGATGAATGATCAATCAGTTTGCATGTGGACCCAAGTATAGAAAGAAGGTTCATGTTAAAAGAGTAACGAAGCATTGCACATAATGGGCAACATGACACTAGCTAAAGAAATATTAAAAGGGTATGTGTTTTCTGGGATTCAAAGTTGGGTGACCAATCGGGGTAATCTTAAGCTTATAGGAAAAGGCTCAACTATTATATGTTGGTTCTAATAGATGGAATATTGCTGGTGTATGGAGTTCTTCCTTCCATTTCTTGTTTGTTGATGTGTATACATTGACAAATTCTTTTATTTCAACTGCAAAACTTTAGGATACGCAAAGGGAAAGCCTGTGCAAGACCTGAAGATGAAGAGTGCTCTAGAGAGCGGCCGCACTTAAGTTTGCTTGGATCGTCCATTCCGGGAGAAAAAGAAAGGCTAAACCGTCCCCTTATACGGCCATTGTCTTTGGAACCATCATGTGAAAACAATGCAAATCCTTCAGCTGTTGCAATTCCTCCCCCTCCTGCAAAGCACATGGAGAGAGAAAGATACTTTCAGGAGAAAAAGGTTGATGGTTCTACTCTGGCTGGTCATATGAGAGGCATGTCATTACACAGTCGTAATGCCAGCAGTTCTCGTAGCGGGAGCATGGATTTTAGTGACTAACTATAGGTTGGTGCTTTTACAATGTCTATTTGTTGATATGTCAGTTTATTACTTATAAATGGAGATGGATTTTCATTGCTAGTATTGTCAGGTGTTGGTTGAAAAATGACTGAACCTCAAGATATTTAATCGTATAGAATGGTCTTACATACAGCCTTCTTGTTCGGTGTTCAGTATTAAGTTGTGTCGGAGGGTGGTTGAACGTGATTGTTGTTTTCATTGAGTTGTTGTGGCGTTTAGTTAATTCTTTTTTTAATATCCTTTTGTTTCAAAGAGTGGCTTGTAAAGAGGATTCTTTTTTCCAAAAATCTTTAGTACAAACTATTTTTTGGCATGGCTATGCCTGTGGTGGTAGACTCTTCACTGATTCACAGTTTAAGCTCGCAAACAGGTGTTCAAAACTATTTTAATGTCTGAACCATCCGTCATAGTTAATTTGAAGGTCTAAGTGAGTATGATGGTGGTTGGTGGATCCATGTTCAACAAAAGGAAAGATATCTGAATTGTGTTCAGAGAATGTTTTTGTCTTTATAATGAATAGATAAACAAGGTCAAGGCATAATGCTTAAAAATGTGTTTGAATTATTTAAAAAAATTGAGATAAATTTTTATATTTTTACTATGTTTAATTAAGTCTATAATTTTATTTTGAGTCAAATAAATTTATTATTAATAGCTTAATAATTGTAAATTAAAATGTCACTTATCAATGTCGTGTTAATGGGATAAGAGGATATGTATATGTTGTATTTTTAAGTTAGTGCCATATTGGTATAAATGGAGAAGTGGTATTTTGATTGATGACAATTAATAAAGTGTTAATCATAAAAATTTATTTAATCCAAATTTAAAGTACAGAGATTTGATTGAATGAAATAGAAGAATAGAGATTTATTTAAAATTTTTTAAAATAATTTATAAATTTGTTTAAATATTATTTTTTAGGTTGAAAAGGTAATCAGTTTAAAATCACTCATGAAACAAAGAAAGTGGAAGCACTATCAACAGCTGGAAATTTGTTTGTGGAAGATCATGGAGGATTATGATCAGTTAAGAACATATCATTGTGTATATTAGAAGCCATCACTTGTCAGCAGTGATTTCAAATGACCTTGGATGAGAGAGCTTGCTGTCCTGCTAGATAGATGGAAATTGATTCTGGAAACCACAAAACAGAAGAAGAAAGCAACTGGAAAGATTCACCCGGAAAACGAAGAGAGAACACGCTTGGATGCACAGTTACTTCCACCGTTGGATCATAACCAAATCTTTGGTCGAAAATAGATTACACTAATGCAAGGAATTCTTGCCCAACCCCTTTATTTTTTTTCCATTATTATTATATTGAATTATTTTCATAAGAGAACCACTTTATTTTCTGCATGTTTGGTTGGTCATTCGCCCTTTATTCAAAAAAATTTCTTCCTTTCTTTGGATTGTTTTTGGAAGAAGCAATAGTCATTTTCTTTGGAATGGTTATCCCTCGAAATTTTGCAAAATTTTGGAATTTCTATTACCCTCCCCTTATGTGGTATTAACTATTTCTAGGGGTGAGTAAAGTTGGACCGGACCAATAATCGAATCGAATGCAATTTAGGTAAAATGGTTTGGTTCAATTGGTCTATTGAGTCTATTGGTTCAAAAAGTTTGATCTAATTAATTTATTTAATCAGTTCTCGTCCTAAAACTTTTAGATTGAATTGAATAAAAAACAGAACTAATATATATATATATATATATTTATATAAAATATATAAAACTCTTGAATGATAAGGGAATGACTTATGTGAAAGGACATAGTTGTAAGTGAAAAGACAAATGTTAATATTTTTTTATATTTAAATTATTTCTATATTTTCTACTTATGGATGATGTTTATAAATTTCAATATTGTAATTTCTAAAAGGCAAAAGTGATAAAATTTTTGTTCTTTTGATTCAAAACCGAGCCGATCGAATCAATTCAATGTATGATCAGTTCGATCTTCTTTTAAGTTTGGCTAATTTTGATCGACTTTCTCAAAATTTTTGATCCATTTGATCTTTAGTTATGATAGATCGAATTGACCAATTGCTCACCCTTAGCTATTCCACATCCAGGGACTAAAATGGCTTTACATAAAAAAGTTACAAACTTAAACATATAAATCGTTTCCTTTTCTTCTTATTTCTTTTGGTCTTTCTCTCCTTTCTCATTCTTGCCTTTTTCTTTCTTTTTCTAACTTCCACCCCCCATTAGCAGCGATAGCGTCATTAATGGGTGACAATCATTACTACGATTTCATGACTAGATATGGTTGCAAAGTGTCGATCAATTGCTCTCCGACTAGATCTGATTGAAGAGTCGTTTGATCTAGTGAAAACCATTGGATCAGGTGCAAAACAATCAGATCAAGTCGTGAGAAGTGCTAATTTGGTGTCTTAGTGGCCAGAGCTAGCCACATGGTGTGCTAGATCTGCTTTCCATTATGTTGGCCACATCTCTGGTGGTTGGCTAATGGAAGAAGAAGAAAGGAAAAGGAAAAAAATAGAAAAAAATATTTAAAATAAAAAAGTTAACATTTTAATTATAAATTATAAAAATTAATATTTTAAAAATTGTTAATATTTTAATATTTTAATCACAATAATATTTAAATTATAAATAAAATATTAATATTTTAAAAATATGAATGTTTAAATTATTAAATTACTAATATTTTAAATTTTGTATGAAAATAGTAAAACTAAAAAATGCAAATAGAAAAAAAATAAAAAAATTAAAATTATATGAATATTTAAATAAAAAATAATTAAAAATTTAAAATTTTAAAGTTTTAAAAAGAAAATAAAAATTAAAAGATTAAAAAAGAAAAAATTATTTAAATTATAATAAAAGTTAATTTTGTCTTTTGGTATAAATTTCACTAAATTATAAAAGATTATTTGTGTTTTTGATGAAAATAAATCTAATTATATCAAAGAGTAGTTTTGTCATTTTATTATTTATTCCGTAAGTATTCTAAAATTATTTTTACCAACCAAACTATATAATAGTAATTCCTGCTTTATTTCATTCAATGAACCGTACTACATAATAAGCATTTTTTCTATTGTTACGCTATTTCATTCCCACGGAATAATTACTCTATTCCATTCTATTATGTGAACTAAATGTCTTAAAGTAAATTTTATAATAGTAATTCATATTGAGAAAGGTCTTGAAAGATTAAATTGTAGGGTTCGAGCCCTAAAGGAAGAGACTACATTAAGGTTGGAGTCTCCTTTTAGTGAAGAGGAGGTGTTGTGGGGTCATCCAAGAATGTGATGTTGACAAAGTTCTTACTCCGGCTGGTTTTAATTTCACTTTTTAAAATCATAGTGGCAAATTATGAAGAAGGATGTGATGTGCTTTGTTTGGGATTTTTTTTCATACTAGAAAACTAAGGCATGGAGGTAACGAAAGCTTGATTACATTAATTATTAAGGTTAAAAATCCAATCATAGTGGGGGAATATAGGCCAAAAAGCATGGTGGGGAGCATTTATAAAATAATTGCTACGGTGCTAGTCACCTTAAGAAGGCTATTGGAGAAGTGATTGCGAATTATCAATTTTGCGTTTGTAAAAGGCAAGCAGATTTTGGATTGTGCCTTTATTACGAATGAAATGGTTGATTTGTTGAAAAAAAAAATCAAAGGATTGTGGTTTGGTGTTTAAAGTAGATTTTGAGAAGGTGTACGACAATGTTAGTTGGAACTTCTTGGAATTTACAATGAAGGAAATGGAATTTGGTGAGAGATGGCAGAGATAAATTATGAATGTGTTTCAATTGAAATTTTCGAACATGCTTAGAAGAGGAACCACATTCATGAAAATAAATAAATAAATAAATCTAAATAATGTAGTGAAATAGAAACATACAAAACTAAAACCACCCTCAGATCACTTATGTTGCTATTTTGATCTGTTAAAAGCAAATATAAATCATCATATGTTCAGCCATCTACCTCGAGAAGTGATTTCAAAAAATCACATGTCAAAATCCCTTCACTTGATTGTACACCAAAGCTTGATTGTCACAAACCAAAGCTATCCATATGTCCAACTTCCAATGGTGATCTACGCAGATGTCAATTGAAAACCTACTCTAGGTTGGGATTATATGGTATTGTGATGCTATGCTAGTAGCCAAGATTTTATGAAAAATCTCACCCATAAAGGTTATTTATTTTTGGCTTGAAAAAAAGACAAGAAAAATTTTTCTTGGGAATATCCTTTGGAAATTGACGCCTAAGGCTTAGAGTTTTTTCTTGATCTTTCCATCATCCTTTTCCACCTCTTATCTAAGGTGTGACACACATATAAAAGGTATTTATAGTAAGGTTAAAATTTTGGTCCAACTTTTGGCTTATTGCATTTTAATCCTTCCACTTAATGACACTATTTAATTAAATGCTTGTTGAAAATTTCTAATTTCCAATTAAACACCAGTCCCATTTTAATTTCATATTGTCATCTTGTTATGTGTGACCCATTAGGTCTTTAACATGTTGAAAATGAATATAACTTAATTCAATTAAAAACTTATATTTATATTCATAGATTATGTTGACATCTAACAATAAATCATGACCACTCAAATATCAAGAGAGTCAATATGGTTTCACTAACCTTTCAATGTATAGTATCTCAATATAATTTGATCCTATCATCATAGATCCCAAATAGATAAAAAGCTTGACTCAGTGTCTATTTTCTAACGTATCCATATTATTCTTACAGCTTCCATATTGACCTATCAAGGTTGCTTGGGTTAGGACTTTCAATCAATATAAGCCAAGGGCAAATGGGATACATCCTTTTCAAATCACTTGGGGTGATGAATCTTCTTTGGACTACTTATTCATCTTCACATGCTTCATGCCATACCCAAAAGCGCTTAGTTTAGGCATCTGAATGCCTCTAAACTCATAAGGATGAAATCTATGGATGATAATTCACATACAAGATAACCTAGTATCACAAGTCTAAGGATTAGTTACATTATTGACACATGAGACTATTTTCATAGACGCTTGAGTGAAATACCAAATAGAACTCTCATAACAGGGTCATGCTCAGTGAACTCGTTCCTTAACAAGCATCCACATACTATCCATAAGTATTTCACATACTTCAATCTATGAGATCGGTTGCTTCCTTCCAAAGTAATGAGCTTAGCATTTACTAGTCTTTAAGCATTGTCAACTACCTTATTCTTGACAATACAATGACCAGGAACATATTTAGAAATAAGGCTTTGATACATAAGAATCTCATAATTATAACCTTTATAATTCCTTTATAAGGCCATT